TTGGTCTAGATGGAGAGGACAGGAAACATCTTTTGATGAACAATTTAATGGGTGAGTAAAATCATTCTATCGGAAATCGATAATAATAAAACTACCAATAAATTACATCTTTGAGGGATAAGTGATGATGCAAAGAGGCAAGGATACACCATTTGTTATTTTCAGGACCATATGTGCGTTTGCGTTACGCACAAAACATGGATGTGGTCTTTGTCTCAGATGAGGGACACGGGACAATTGATTTCGTACATCCGGAAGGTAAAAAATCAACACATCAAAAACTATTATGTCTAAAGACTTCAACGTAGTAGGTCATAAAATATTGTATATACATTTTAACGTTTTACATTCAGGTACTGGTCGTGAGAATTTCCGTGAGCTATCAACTACAATAGCTAGCCTCGCTGTTACCGACAATTACGTGTTTTGGACTGATCGACGAACTTCCCAACTCTTCTGGTCCGACGTGCACGAGATTACACACAAGATACGACGCATCGAACTATGTAAATACTTTCATACTATTTAAATGTGAACAATATAAGCCTTATCTTTGTTTTACTATTACAAACGTCCTGCACTTTAATTTCTTTTTTCCAGCAATCTTCCCTAACAACACTCAATTACACATCCTAGCCACAACACCACAGCCAAGTAGTGACAGCCCTCTCATAAGACATCCGTGTGTAACCCACAACCCTTGCTCCGCTGTCTGCGTCCAGCGACCACACACCACCCCACATCATTCTCCCACCAACTTCACCATGGGGTACAAGTGCCTCTGTCCCCCGGGCCTCGTCCTCCAGAGCGGTAACTGCACCATGCTCGCAAATTGCAAGCAAAATGAATTCTATTGCCACAAAACCAATCAATGTTTCCTAATGAGCCAAAAATGTGATGGGAAAAAGGATTGTCTGTTCGGTGAAGATGAAGAAGGTTGTGCTGGTAAGTTCTTCTTCAGTACGTATTTTTTGTATGATTATTTGTATGTATGATTTTTAATCGTTACTTTTTTAATGCCTTTATGTTCTTTAGTGAAAGACGTGGAGGCGACTGCATGTTCATCACAGGAAACCTTCTGCGATGGTAAATGCATACATAAGAACATGGTCTGTAAGTCTGAAGATACGACTACGAGTAAGTACTTTTAGGTATTTTCTATTTATTTATAAGTATTTTAGTGTTCCTTTAGCTAGCTCATTGTCAGTCTTTAGTAGTCTAAAGATTCTCATACTTTTGTACTACTTCTTTATCGAAGATCTCATATGAAAATATCAATGGATTCTATGAAGCTTTTGTTGCCACATTTCTTCAATTTACGAACTCTTAACTTTATTTCCCGATGACGCTGTCTTCGATGGACCTTAAAACGTGGCTCTTAATACCTTTGTTGTGTACAGACAACCAGACATGCAGTCCAACCCAGTTCAAATGCAAGAAGGATCTGATATGTATCGAGAGGTCGCTAGTATGCGACGGCCATGTTGATTGCCCTGACGGCACAGATGAGGACCCTGCCTCCTGCGACACACTTTCATGCTTCGTTACTGAGTTTATGTGAGTTAATCTTGGATTACTTGGAATCCCAGAGATAAAGAAATTAAATCCCTTATTTGCTGCTTGTCAGGTGTGCGACGGGATCCTGCATTCCGATTTACTGGCGCTGCGACGGCAGTGAGGACTGCGTAGATGGTTCTGATGAATTCGGATGTGGTGAGTTATTTGAAAGATGTGTGCTTGAAAACTGAACAAAAAAACTATGTTGATGATTTTGCCAAAAACAAACTTTTAACATATAGTTAGCTGTTAAAAGTCCTGAACTTACCAACTTTAACTTCAAATAAAATTATTTCGTAATTTCTTTCTACTTCACTCATCGATGTATGCAACAGATACATTTGCTGGTTCTTATCTATATAATCTATTTACAGTGAATAAGAGCTGCAACTTAGGTCAGTTCCAGTGTCACAGCGGGGAATGTATAGAACTGAACAAGCGGTGCGACAGACAGCTCGACTGCTTCGACCATTCGGATGAGGACAACTGTGACGTCACCGACGGCTTCGAGGCCATAGTCAGTTTGTTTGAACTTACTGTTAAAACATTGGTAGGTACTGCGCTTGCTGAGATACGCTGGTACGATACTAATCTAATTGTTCGTTTAAAGTCTTGACATCATTCTAATGTATAGTTTTTGAAATACAAAACATACTAAAAACAGCTTCAAATATCATACTGTGATTATTTTAAATTTTTAAATCTGTAGTAAGAGGCACATAACATTTTTTAAATCTAATTGCTAGCTCTTGGCAACACTAATATAACTGTAAACAACAGGAGGAGAAACCGCGCTGCCAGCCCTGGGAGTACACTTGCGAGCACAATGATAGCATTTGCTTACCGCCTACTGTTAGGTTAGAAGGATAACTTATTGGCTTTGGGTACATATAATAAAGACCGTTTTCACTATAAGAATATGGCGACATCTGGTGATTTCATTATCTATAATGGTAAAAGTAATAGAGTAGAAGTTGGATAGTGAAAACGGTTCTTTAATACATCATTATTGTGGTGGGAACAATTTTCTTCCTTATTAACTGTTGTTTGCCTGATATTGGACCTCTATTCTTTTATCACTCAAACTGACTTACTAATTTGTTCATTTGTCACTAATAAAGACCCTTAACAGCGTCTGAGAGTGCGACTGCTAGCACGTAAATAAACCTGAATATGTACCTGATAGATGTAACGCCAAAGTTGAGTGTCCTGGTGGTACTGATGAAGCTGGTTGCGATTTCCGCTGCGCCCCTCACGGGCTGTTCGAGTGCAAGCAGGAGATGACCTGCGTCTCTAAGAAACAGCTGTGCGACGGCAAGAACGACTGCATGGATGGCTCCGATGAGACACTTGAAGCTTGCAGAAAGGGTCAGTGTTCACTAGATAAAACGATTTGAGTTGACACGTCTATAAGTAGAGTAATGTTTGGCTCAACGTGCCAACTATATTTCACTTAACATTTGTACAGTAACATTTTTTTCCTTGAATCATTTTCGTCTTGACGTATTTCTACTTCTTTGTATTGGCAGTTAATGCGACTTTACCTCGTGCTATCACCAAGTACCCAGCAACGCAGTGTCGTAACGGCTTCCTGTGCAACAACGGACAATGTATAGAGTTATCGGAGTTATGCGACGGCACGCCCAACTGCTTTGATGGCAGCGATGAGAATGGACAGTGTAGTAAGTAGAATAATAAATCAATGATACAATTCCTTGCAAGATGTAAGATAGTTAGTCTTTTGTTTTTCGGTACTTCCAAATTGGTATTTAAAAGTTTTTTGCGGATTTATTGTTGTTTGTTGAATCCGGACCTTCACCTTAAACAGAAGGACCAATAATCAACAGTGAGTATCAAACGATTTCGTTTCTCTTTTTTTTCTATTTTATCGAACAGTTACTTGTAAAGCGTCCATAATATTTCTTGTATCTCTGAATACTGGCTATATTTTGCTTTATATTTAAAAACATATTACGTAATTTATTTTATCTCGCCCATTTTGTA